CTCCATCAGGAGGTGACTCTATAAATAACCAATCCCTCAGACATCAGGAAGCCTTGCTGGCTCAGTGGTAAGAAGAGTGACTGAGTGACAGTGGACGTGTCACAGAAGGTGAGAGTCTGTGGGGATGGGAAGAAAAACAAAGAAAAAAAGATGGATGGATAAAAGCCTCTGAATATTCCTCTGGTATATGCTGAATTGCTGTGAATTCTTTTTAATATACTGTACGATGGCTTTGCTGCATATATTTGCAAAAAATGCATCAATAGATTCTATCACATTTTATCATTTTTATTTATTGATGTTGCAAGGTTTGTTCATGTTATATAAATGTGTATACAGTGTGTATTTTGAACTATAAAGATCTTCTCCCTCAAGTGCAATTCCTGAAACTAGAAACCAGTAGGGCAGGTCTCTGGGAGACAGTGAATATTATTTACAGTTCTTCTATAAAAGAAGATAACCACACCTTTTAACTGCTGTGGCACAGGATTGTTATGATGTTTCTACTCATGCTAATAATCGGTTGTTACACAATAAACAACATCAGTGAAGAGTAAAAGGAAACATAGAGACATATTTCCATGGCACGGACATGAAAAGGAGAGCAAAAAATATAATCACACAGATAAGGGGGGTGAGGGGAGTTTCCTGAGACAGGAAGACCTGAAATAGCACATGGCTCGATCAGCCCTGAAGAAATGTTGCTGCTATTTTTGAATGTCTATACTAACGGGGGGATGGAAACAATCACTACAGTTCTTAGATCTCTGCTCTCCTAAACTGTAGGAATTAGTGTTTTCAATGAGTGGGAAAGTAGTTACAAGACAAAAGTCAGAGAGCTCACTGCAGAAATGGTGTATTTCAGTGAGGATTGTAGGTGGTTTTTTTGAGGGGGGAGACTTTTCTTCTTTATAGTATTTATTGGTTGTGGAGGTGAAAAAATGCCCTCTGCTGTACTGATATGCTGCTGGAAGGCACAATGTTTCACTTAACTGTTAGCTTTATTGCTTTGTCATACAAAATATTTGCACGGTTATAAACACTTTTCAGTGGTAGTTAAAGTTTATTGACCATATTTAATAGTACTTGTATGCAGCACCCTATAAGAGCTGAAGCCAGATGCAACCTTAAAATGTGGCCACATGGTGGCTCAAGTTCCCACTCCACAAAGATAGAAGAGCTAGGGAGCTGCACCTACACAAAGCACATTTCATCAACAGATGTTTGCTACAGTGACAGTCAGGGGCCTTGAATGGGAGACTTGAAAACTGCTGCAGTTATTTCTGCCACTAAAATTCTCACACTACACTTTCTATGAGTGTATGTATAAGTGTTATGCTCATAGCAGTTGCACAGTTGTATGGCTGTTACATTTTTTCTATTGTTGCAACCTAGAAAACTGAGTCAGTGTCTTAATGTTTCTAAAATTTCAAAACTACGAATCCCAAGATTACATGTGAACAAAATCATTGGTTGTTATTCATTTATACGTTATGTGTAGCTGAATTATTGAAATGGTAAAATAAGCTGCAGGCCCCAAATCACAAACATTTACCACCAACCCAATTAAAGGCATTGTTTCTTTGTTTGAAGGTGATCATTTTGAATCAAAGGACAAGGAAAAGAAAAACGCTGACTAACCTGAAAACTCTCCGGACTTTGCTGTACCCATCTCTGAAGCCTGGTCTCCAAGGGTGGAGGCTGGCGGAGAGTCTCCGTACCCCGGAGTGCTGGGCCGGCTAGGGGAGCCTGACTCTGGATCACTGGGGGAGCCCCATCGGTCACCCCTTGCAGGTTTTTCTTTGTCTCCGACAGATGCCCTGCTTCCTTCCTTCCTGTGAACCCGCTGGTGGACGACCATCTGATGACGACTGCGAAACACCTTCCCACACTCAAAGCACTCATTGGACTTGGAGGAAGATTGCGATTGGGATGACCGTCGTCGCTCCTGTCGAGACAAAGGCCGGTACTCAGAGTCACTGAGGCTCTCTGGTGTCCGGTCCCCTGAAGAGGTATGGCTTCCCAATCCAGTGCTGCTGCGTCTGCCTGAGCTGCGTTTCTCTTGACCTTTTAGGACATAACGACTGCTCTCCTTTTCAAAAACCACAGTGGCTCCAGCGAGGGCCTCCTCCCCTATACTTCCTCCACCAAAGGGTGCTTTGTAAGTTGGTTCCACTGGCTCCACAACCCTTCCTTTAGTGGCTAATTGCCAGGCCTGGTAGCTGCAAATTGGATCTAGCTCTGGGATTCTTTGACCCAGAAGGTTGTTCTTATTTTCGTCGTCTTCGTCCAGGGTCTTTTCTTCAACAGGTTGGAGGTTTAAGTAGTCAAGTAAGTGTCTCTTAGCAGCAGGTGAGTCCTCATCATCATTGGGTCTGCATGGGCTTTGGGATTTCCTGCCATAGCCGAAACTGTGGATTTGATCATGAGCTCTCAGACTCTCTCTGCTGTGGAACAGGTTCCCACATTTGGAGCACATTTGATAGATAGAGGGAACAGAGCCAGTAACTGTATCAGGATTCTGGGCTACATTGTTGATGGTGGCCGGATGCTCAGCTGAATCTACTTTTGACCGTGACTTGGATTTGGTGTTGTGTGTTTTCATGTGAGATTTGAGAAACCACGCTTCACGGAACCGTCGTCCACAGATACGACAGCAGTGGTCCAGGATCCCTGCATGTTTCTTCATATGTGATTTTAAAAACCAGGCCTGGGTAAATACCTGGCCGCAGGTTTCACAGGGAAAGGTCCCATCATTCTGGGGTTGGATAACATCGGATTCGGTCAGAGCCTCTTCCTTAACAGTGGTGTCCTCTTCTGTGTCTGCTGTGATGTGGACCTTTTCAATGTGGCTAAGGAGCTGGTCTTCCCTCTGGGCCTCGTAGCCACAAAGACGGCAACAGTAAGGCTGCTGGTCAGTGACAGGCTTCTCCCTTTTCAAGTTCCGTGCAGGCACTTTTCTCCGACTGTCCTCACCACTATCCCCATTGACCATTCGGTTACAGGCTGAGCTGCTCTTAGTTGGACTCGTGCCTCCATCCAGACCCTCTGAAACACTCATCTCCTCCTCTTCAGCCCCACCCTCTTCATCCTCATTGGAGTGGTGGCTAGACAGGGTGCCCAGTTTATGGCTGCGGATGTGAACTTTGAGGTTGCCCTTCTGAGAGGCCCTGTGGTCACAGTAGGGGCACTTGTAAGGGCGTGCACCCGTGTGGCGTCTCATATGCTGCGACAGTGAGCTGAGGAATGGGAAGCTACGTCCACAGACACTGCAGTCGTATGCTCCAGGGATCTTGTCATCCTCACCGTCAATCTTATTTCCAGGGTAGGTCTTATCTGCAACCAGCTTCTCCTTCTGACCTCCAGCCTGGGTCTCCATCACCTCAATACTGTCTCTAGGATTCATTGTATGAGCTAATCTACCCTGTCCAGCTGGCCTTTCACAAACTCGGTATAACTTCAAACTACTGCTATCTGCAGCTGCACATCTAGGGATGTCTAGCTTTGCTTTGCCAGTCAGTTAAAATGCTATTTACTTTCTATCATCCAGAGATCCAGCTGCTTACACAGCAGCTCATTTAGCACTATCCAGTTACTGGATGCTACACCATCCATCCATCTTCATCTGACACTGTCAGTGAACCAGTTACTCAAACTCTGTGTGCAACTGGCACCATAAAAACAACTTGTGTAGTTTTAACATCTGCTTTGTGTGCGTGGCTTGTGTGAAGTAGTCTTTATCAGACCAGCAAGGCCCAAAGGACTGTGTATTGGAAAACTGAGACTTCTTTCTCAGAATAAAGTTAGTTTTCCCTCAGTTTCAGGTCCTCATTGTGTCAGTGGGTGGACGTTGTGAGACGTTTCTGTGTCAGTGTAGATAATCCAACAAACTCTTCTTCTTCATTTCACTGGCTTCTCTTCTTCATCAGTTTTTGTCAGTGGCTTTCAGATCAGATGAGTTCTCTAAAGCACAACGTGCATATAGATCAATCACCTGAGCATAAAGAGAGTGTTTGATGGAGGGGGTGGGGGTTGGGGGAGGGAGAGACAAGGAACATGTTAGTCAAGCTAGAGTATTTTAAACACACTTTCAATTTTTTGCCACATTCAGTTAGCATTTGTATACACAGCTAAGCTAGCTGGACTGGTATTGTCTGATACTGAAGTTGTGAATTAAAAGGAGTGTAAACTAAGACCTTAAGCTGGTGAACACCATAATGCAAGCAACCCACTGAAAGTAAATAAAATCCTAAATTCTATATTTAGCAAATTATCGGTGTATGAATGTTAGACAATGCCGCACATATTAACACATGAGCTGGTCATAAGTTTAAAGTGAAACCTTGGTTTTAGGGTCTTTGGCTGAGTTTGCTATTCTAAGTGAGGAATGGCACCAGCTGGATTGTTCTCATATACAGTGTAATATATACTATATATCCGTGGCTTTGCACTGTGCACTGCAACTATGCACATGCACGCGTATGCGTGGGTGTTCTGATTGTGCATGAGTTGTACAGAGCAAAGGGGTCTCTGACGCCACACTGGCTGAGTCGACACTTTACACAATCAGAGTGGTGGTGAGGGGGGGAGTCGTGTTCACATCAGCAAGATCAGCAATGCCACCATATTCCCTCCCTAAACTGGCCTCAAGAACCCGCCTTAACTGACACTATCACATGACAGGGATCCTAAGTACACAACAGGAAGAGGCTCTTCAGACAGTTTGCTTTGCTCTATTTCTCAAACAGGAGTTGAATGGGGTTGGGGAGAGAGTCAAACAGAAAGAGAAACGAGGAGGGTGATAGACAGACAAAGACTTTTAACAGTGTTGACTACTTTCAAACTGCATTTATTTTCCTCCAGTGGGTGGAATATTTCCATAATTTGCATATTTTCATCAACAATTCTTGTGTCAGTTTGCTCAACTACTTTGTTTTGAAACCTTAAAATCCTGCTGTAATTATACACATGCATTATATTATATTATCAACACTCTGAAGCATGAAAAGAGATTTCTGTGAGAAAATAGAGTATTAATTTCAGCAGATGCAAAAGCCTGAAAGTGTGGACTATATGAAATGTGACTGACAGCATTATTACAGGCTATTATATAAAGTGCCAGAGCCCATAAGTTGAGTTACTGCCAGGCTCTAATTATAAGTGGATAATTGATTATAATCATAAGAGGGTAAGTTGGTGGAGGAGGGAACTTAGAACAATCATGTGTCTTAAACTCTCACACTGAAAATGACTACCCTGCACCAGAGCCACATATCTATCTAGCATGATTTATGCTATTGAACTCAGCACGGCCTCAATGCTTCCTCCTGGAGCGCTTCTAAGACTACCAGCGAACAAGTACTTCTCCAGCCAGAAGCAGCTGTAGGCCCATGTACTTTGACACAAAATGTATTATCAGACCCAGACCTCTTACTGCCTAAATGTAATCAGTGTTGATATTTAAATAAAGGACAGGGGCTCATTTGTTTCGGCTTGAATTTGAAAACTCATCTTAACCTTTTACGTTTTCAGCCATGCTAGGGGCAGGGCTATATTTATGGCAGTGATAGTCCACATTCTGTTTCAGACTCAGATATCATTACTACTTAACACTTCTCTTAGAAGAAATTGTAAGTGCTTTTATTTTTCATCTACATTTGGTTTGAGAGAAAAACCACAACTGTTGAATGAACTAAAATTCATGCCCCCCTCCAGGATTACGGCAATAATTTTGTGGCTCCCTTTTCATGTAAGGAAATCACCAGGTCAAAATTTTAATTTCTCTAATACTTTGGTTCATGGTTACATTCTTGCAAAGCTACATGGTATTAGAATTAGCCTCAGCTGATTTAAGTAGCTAATGTTAATATGCCAACATACAAAACTGATAAAACATAAAAAAGATAACACTGTAAACAACATGCCTGCTAAACATTGGCATGTTAACATTGCAACCTTAAATACTTTAGTATGCTGACGTTATTATTTAGCTCAAAGCTGCTGGTGGCATAGCTTTAGACTCATCATAATTAATATTGTAAGTCTGTGATCGGTGTGCCCGCTGCAGTCACATGAAACAGGACTGCAGTGTGAAATTGTGATTTTAATCATTTTAATGCCATGGCATCATATTCAGTTCCTGTGTTATGTACCCATTATAGTCACACACATACAGTGCTCGGCGTAGGACTCATCTGTGCCACGGTGACATACTGTACAATGTTCACAAACTAGGAGGAACAAAACAACTTGGGTGAATAACATCCACCACATGACATGTAAGATAATCAGATTATGATGGACATCACAGTTTAAACTGTTTAAGTCATGCATCGACTGTAGTCTTCCCCTACATTGTTCCATCTGTCTGCACATCCTAATGTTACTTATTTATACTTAGTAGTTGCTTCCATTGCCTGTGCTAAAAACAGAGGATAATGATCTAATTTGCTATTAAGTGTCTTTGCTTATTGGTGGTTCACAGGGTGGGGAGGAGTGGTTGAGACTGTTCAACAGTAAGCCTGTCATCCACCAGACAATCGCATGTGCAAATTGAACTGCAATGAGATTAGCCAGCAGAAGGGAAACAGTTTAGGCCTCGCCATACAGGCCAAAAACAAAAAGACAAATTGGCTCAAGGAGGGACCAACTGTCCAGGAGAAACGGACGAGATTACCAATTACCTAAGTCATCAAAAAGAGAGAAGGCATCAAAGTGCTATTAAAGGCCAATAGGGTACAATAAATGGATAAAGTGTCTTCTTGAAGCTAGCAGTCTTTACTATAAACACTGATTGTCACTGACATACTCCAGCTAATCTCAGACAAGCACACACACACACACACACACACACACACACAAGGATTAACAAGGCTAGAGATTGTTTGTAGCTAAAATTGGAGTTTCAGTGCTTAGTGTGTTTAAATGTTGCATTCTAATGGAAACACTTAATAGTTTTTTTTTCCTTTGCCAGAATCACCTGTAAATACTAAGACCAGACTAACCCTAGTTGGGAACATCACTGCTCTGATTTCAGACATGCCATTAATGGACACTTAAGGCCTACACTTAGCTGATAATGACTGCTGTGTCAAACCAAAAGGAAAACTGTTCTTTTTTCCCCCTCCTTCCTTGAATGTTTAACCTCTGCTGTTGCTTAACCTATGCTGTTCAGCTGCTATGGTTCA